CCTCCAAAAATTGAAATCTGTTCTGTGCGGTTTGCCCCCCTTTTGTTCGAAGAAAATTGTGGTGAAGTAAAAAGCGCTTATTAGTGTTTTGTTTTTTTAGCAAAGCGTACTGTTTGCCCGCGACACGCGACTAGACAGACGCGCCCGTACAGCTCCTGGGGGGCCACGGGGTTGGGACCGCCTGCCACCCCTCCTTCCCCTCCTTCCCCTCCTCTTCCCTCCCTCCTTCCCCCCTCCCTCTCTCGAACAGGAAAACCACAGCCGTCGAGTTGTGACCCCGAACGGCGCCAACAGCTCCGGGCAAATACCTTAAAATACGACGTCAGCAGCGAACACGCCCCCCTGGGGGACCCCCGGACGACAACGGGCGGGACGCATCGGGGCCCCTCTGAGGGCAGCAACCCGTCGCACGATCGTCCCTCTGGAACCAAACTAAACCAAGCCACCACCCCCCAAAATAAAATAAAAATAGCGGTGACGACAGAAAAACTTAGTATTGTTTGTTAGGCCTATCTGTTTGTTAGTTTTGCTTTTGTCTATCCATGTTGCTTATGCACAGCAAAATGTGCAAATTATTCACTACTGCCTACCGAGAAAAGTCCGTATTTGGATCGAGCAAACTGTTCTTGGCCAGAACCTTTGCTTAAATATTGTGCTTAATTCAAGATGATTTTCATTACATCAATCAAGTAGTGTGGTTATAGAAGAAGTAGTATACTATTCAATTCCGGGTTCAATTCAAAAACATTTTGATAGATTCAAAAACGGAGTAAGGTGAACTTTGTTAAAGACGCGATGTCCATCTTCCTTCCCTCATAGATATCGGACCGATTCGTTGCGCTTTTTTTACTCTTTCTTATTCTAATAAACGGGACAAACAGACTGAATGTGACAACTGCGGCGCCCAAGTAGTGGTGGCAATGCCAAGCGAAACGGCGCGCGGGGAGAAAAAAAAAGAGGGAGGGGAAGATGGGGTAGAAAATGCCGCCCTTTCACTCTGATGAGAGAGTGAAAAAGTCTTTTCCAGCGCTTTCCCTCAGAAAGCTAAGCTGTCCCGGAGACTGCCAGCCAGCCAGCCCGCCACCCTCGCGACCCAAGAGCTGCTGTGGCTAGAGCTGCTCGGCTCGACTCGACTCGGCTCGGCTCGGTTCGGCTCGGCTCAGTTGTCGCGGAGAAGAGGCCGCCTCGCGACTCGTTGTGACAAGCCGAAAGAGATCTAAATCAGTCTGAATTACGCTGCTTCCTCGAGGGCTGCGCCCGAAGAAGGGGGCGGGCGAGAGAGAGGGAGGGATGAGCGCCCCAAAAGCTTCAGCCCCCCTTCTCTTCCCCTTTCCCAGAAGTCGAGCTGTGTCCGAACTTCCTCCCTCGTTCTTAAGAGAGGCGCCAGTCGCCGCCACCAAGAGTCTTGGCGGCGCGGCGGGGCGGGGTGGGGACGACGGCATTCGTCGAATCAAGGAACCAGCGCGCCCCAAATCAGACACGCGCGTGCCAACTTCCTGCCCCCGCCCCCTTTTCAATCGCCCTTTATTCTCGCGGCGCCATCTGCGGTCCGGTGGTGAGGCGCGGCGGCGCGCTACCCCCCGGAACACGCGCCGGATGGGTTGCCTAACCGCACGGCGCAGGGAATGGCGGGTTACAGCGGGGGCGGCCCCGGGACGAGGGGGAGAGGGGGGCCGGCCCGGGGGCGCTCAAAGAGAATCGCACACGAGCGGGGGGCAGGCGGGGCGGGGCAGGGCAGGGCAAAGACAGAGTCCAGTCCAGGGACCCGCGTCTTACCCCCTGTCATCTTAGCCCCGGCCCACGGCTCGGCCACAAAGACTACAGCAGCACTGCAAATACACAGCAAAGTCCGAGAGAAAGGACCGGACGGGACGGGGCGAGGAGTGCGCCCACGCGCGCCGACAGCGGGCGGTAAATACCCAGTTGATGGGGGCAGTAAGTGCAAAGAGCAAAAGAGAGGAAGACTACTTTGAAATTTTGAATTTATCTCAGTGTGGGGTAAGATGAGAACAAAAGGCCAAAGAGCAATTGCTTTAAATACTATCTAACACCGGGATTCAGAACTAGGTAATTCCTCATTAATTCCTCCGTCAATAATTAATTGTGATCCTACACTAAAGACTATTTAGCGTGTTTAACTTAGTTAATAATAAAAGTTTCTTAAGTCCAGAAGAATTTTTAAATCTATAGTTAAGGTTCTACTACTTAAATTATATCTATTATACAGCAAACACATTTAACCGCTCAATTTTAAGGTCATGTTTCTTGTGATAATATATGCCGTTGTAAACATATCACTAGCGATGACATATAAGCGATAAGGTAATCCGTATTTTCAAATCCAGTCTCAAACTCTTTGATTACAGCAGTACAATGTAAATGAATACATTTTCATTGAAGAATGTGAAATTCAGTTTGAATGCAAAGTAAAGAAATTTAATTTGTGTTACTGTAAATAGGGAAGGACCCCACAAATGACATGGTAAAATGTATGATTTACAAAATGCAACCTATCGTTCTAAAAAGTGACCAAAATCTACGGCATAAATTCAAAC